CCCCCCCCCCCCCTCTCTCTCTCTCTCTCTCTTTTCTCTCTATGGCAAAGTGCAAGCAAGGACAATCCCAGTAGTTGTGGCCTTTTGTATCATTTAAATGGCAAGCACGTACACCTAAAGAAGGACCACGATATGAGGATCAACAAGTTTTCCACTGATAAAACACTGGGAACATTTGGACACCACATTCCAGAAACATAATGGGTTGCATTCAAAAGTTTCTCCCATGCTCTGACAAAAAATTATGCTCCCTATTTTCTCGCAGTTAACAGCTTATTTGAGTTGTTTTTTTTTATTATTCAAAAACGTTAAATTTTGTCAGTAGACTCATGAGCAAGTACGGGAAGCATTACTCCGATGAGATAATTTTTTTCAGAAGACGAGATATGAGTCACTATCCAAATTAACACTGTCATTGATTATAGTTGCAGATGATCATTCAATGTCTTTGACTTAAATGACACCGTCGCAATCACAAATCCGACGATTGCATCTGTGGGGACTCTCAGTCCCGCGTGACTGTTTGTACCCCTCAGTAAATTTGTTAGCTTGTTTCCATTCCCCTCGAACTAAAATCCCTCTTCTTTTTTGACCAGTAACTAAAAGCCCATTAAAAAAACATCAACTTCACTATAACCAACAGGATTATAAGTCAATAGGTTTTAGACTAATTCAGGTCAGATGTTTGGTTATGTAGACGTCATATGAGTGAGAGAAGTCACCATGAGCAAATAATTTGAGTTATTTTTTTTGTACCTTTGAAATCAATGCTGCGTTTCATGACAGGGGAAGGAGAGGACAACTCGTCCTTGTAAAACGAGGAGTCCAGCACCGAGACCGGACTCGGTTGCAAATCGGTTGCAGTGATCTCTGCTATGCTGTGAAGCAGCTTATCGCATCTCTCCAGCAGACTCCTCCCTTCTTTCCATTCCTCCCTCTTTGATCTCTACAATGCCAAATCCACAGACATTTGTTGTGATTTTGATAGGTAATTCACAAAATTAAGCCACATAGAACAAATCAAAACTAAAAATGTTGATTAAAAAGTAATTAGATAAGTGAAACTCATTTGGGGCATACCTCTGTATCAGTATGAGAAGAGGTGCTAACAGTACTTTCAGATATTGAAGATGATTCATCCTCTGTAACAAAGGTGGTGATCTTCTCTTTGTGATAAATCTCAGCCGTTGGCATTTTACTTCTTGGTGATCGGCTTGTGGTGTTTTGATCTGCTGCTCCAGCTCCTCTAGAGCCAGGCTTCGGGGAACGAACAGGAGAGACCCTTCGCTGTTCTGTTGGCTCATTGACTTTGCTCTTCGTCTCAACGCTTGACGGTTTGGGTTTAACCAATGAGTTCGAATGTTTCGAATTACTCTCATTCCGCATAGGCGAGCTCGAACTTCTGGCTCTCGTTGGGCTCCGCACATTCCGGTCAACAACCTGCCCCTCACGACGTGGATTTACCATTGGCAAAGTTTCTTCGGCAAGATTGAGATTCCGGCGAAGTTCGGCTTTGCTCCTGAAACTTGAAGGAGGGGAATCGTTGCCGACTCTTCGATTAATCACTGAAGCAGGCGACCTCGAAGGTTTCATAACAACGATTGGGGATTCGTCGCGAACGAAGTTTCTTTGGCTGATCTGTTCTGAAGGCTTTCTGGAATGAAGAAGACCTTTGAGTTGCAGAGCCTCGAGGATTTGCTTCAAGGTCTCTAGATCCTTGGAAGGCTCGTCGATTCCTCTCCATCTCAATCTTCTCTCGATCTCTCCATAGAATGAAACAGTCTGCTTCGGCTCTGGAAAAAAGTCCCCTGAATCAAAGAAGCTTTTCCGGTGCTGTGGTGATTTCCATGGCGGTCCAAGTACTCCTCTGTTTGAAGTCTTTGGAAACTCACACTTGGCGTTTCTTGAAGAATAGTTCATTGGACTTGCTGGTCTCACATTCAATGCGGTGGTGTGGTTTTCCATTGCAGCATTGTCTCTTATCACATTGCCTGATATCTTCGTTCCCATAGAGGTGGAATGGTTCGGTTGCTTTAACATGAAATTGTTACCATCAATAAATCGATAATGACGCAGATCTCTTGAAGCTCTCGACTCGGAAGCAGATCTTCGCAGTTCGGCTTTCTGCACCGGTTCGGGAGTTGAATTTGGCAATGGTTCAAGTCCCATTAGCCTTGCAATGACGCTAGGCGATCGGCGTTGCTTGTCGTCGCAATCACCGGCTCCTCCATCTTCAGAGTTTTGGCATCGATTTGCAGATAGAATCGATGCATTCGTGCGGATCACCTTCGGGTGTAGACTCCCCTTTGCATCAACTGTCGCTCTGCTGTCCAGCGAGAGCCTGGGAGCCTCTTTGCCGAACTTCCATGAAGACCTCGTTCCTTCCTTTAATTCGAATATAGGAAGAGGAAGCGGCGATCTCGGCGGTGTTTCCACTTTAAGAGAAACCGCCGGCGAGGTAGATCGAAACTCCGGCTCCGGAGACGGTTTTGATCGGTCTGGACTTGGCGAGGCCATGGGTCTTGTTTGCTTAGTCTTCTCCAATTCTGTTGAAATCGCCGGAGATCCAACGGATTTCTGCGACTCCGGCATAGTAGCAAGCACCTGAAAGTTTTAGAGAGACAATGAGACATTCTCCCGTGAACGTCTCTTTACATCGATTATGACAACGATCAAAGTGTAGAAAGGGACATGATAATCTCACCGTCGCCGGAGGTAGACGCTTGGTGCCGTAGAGTCTTTTTCCGGTCAAAATCTGGTGGCGATCAAAGAGCTGAAGAAATCCAGCCATACAACCCATCTGCTTCTTTAGATTCTCATCTGGTACTATCCCCGTCATCATTTTCCGGCGCCTTTCGTCAGTAACACCTCCCTCTCTCACCTTCACCACCCACACACTCTCTCTCGCTCTCTCACTCTCTCTCCCCCTAAAGTTAACGTCGCAGTGGTTCAAATCTCCATCTCTACATCTGTCTCACTCTCTCTGAATGTATTTCTCTCTCTATAACTTTGCCTTATCTGCAACTCCCGCTTTCTGCTCTTTTTAAAGGGTGAACGAGGCAAGTGGGAGAGAGAGAAAAGGTAGGCTAAACGAACGGGTGGATTTTTACCCTCGCTCAACAGTTTTGGAAATGACATTTAGGCCCCGAGGCTTAAAACGGGATTTTTGTCAAGAGTTTCACGCATTACGTCACAGACTGCGCACCTGCAGGCTAAGCTCCGTGGGTAATTCTCTATACGTGTCAGAGTCCCCAGTCTCTTGAGTTGCGAAAGTTTGAACGACGACCTTTGGCTACATTTACCAGAATACCCTTAACTTACAAACAAGGCTTCTTAAATTAAATTTATTGATCTTATTTGTTTTCTTAATTATTTATAATAATTAAATTAATAATGGACTACAATATATATTAGATTACCAATCAATCCAATAATTATAATAAATTAAGTTAATAAATTTGGTTAAAATAATATTATTATAAACTAACTACTCCCCACCATGATTTCTTGTAATTTTGTAAACTTAAGCCTTGATGATCCAACTCCCTTTTATTATAATTTATTATTTCAATTTTTTTTCTTGAATTCAATCAACAATAATTTATTAAATTACCGGTTAGCCTTAAGCCATATCTTCATTTATATAACAATTTTTTTTTAGAAAAGACTTGAAAAGTATTCCCTTTGTTCTCTATTATCTTGAAATTTTAATTTATTTTAGTACATTCAATCTAATCACATTGCATTATGTGTCATAACCACCCTTTTGTTCCCTAATAACTTAATGTGAAAATTAAAAAAAAAAATTATTTTCTATCACCCAAAGATTTCATACTTTTTTTGGACCAACTTACAAACTTCTTAAATGGTTGAGTGGATGAAAGAGGGAGGTAAACGAGATAATGAAAGAGAAGGAGGTCTAAATTTTGTACATTGCACGGGTACACCTCTAGGACCTATATAAAGGGATGTAACTCACCTCTTCTTAATTACGAATTTTTGATTCACTCGAAATTCATGATCAATTAACGATTGATGGAAACGTGGGTGGAAATTGAGTATAAATAATAACATGCATTTTTTTTTTTTGTATCATGGATGAATTTGTAATAAGTATAAAATTGTTTCATATTACACATTAGTAAATCTCATCAGAATACATAGTCCCCCTCTTCCTTTATTTTGTAGTATCAGTTATTACCCACTGTAATCTTACCGTCAATGGTGGGACAACATGAATTAAACGCCACCAAAGGTTCTATTAATAATACAGTACCAAATATATAATATAATCAGGTCAGTGGATGATATTTACAAAAACTAAATTGGCTTAATATTTACACATTGAATATCGTAAATATCCCTGAATAGACTTGCAAAGTTCCCAATTAGCCCTTTATCTTTTTCTCAACACCATGACCACCCCCCACCTGAACTTCCATCGGACCAATGCAGACCACCCAAATTCCAGGTCATTCAAGTTCACACACCAAAAACCATCTTTCATAACCAATACAAAATCCATACATACGTCAGAACACCATAAAAAAATTCATATCTTTGTAATTTTCTGGCATTGAAGGTCAAAATTATTCAACCGATGGAAGCCTGCGGAATCGATGGTTGTTTATCTTTGATTGGTGGAGGCTTGGAGATTTTAGACCCATTGGGTGGCCATGATGTGATGTCCTTTGATTATCAAGGAGCTACGAGTCATGCTTAGGGGACATTTCGTGTTTTGCACCACATCGTGTAAGTGAATGGCATTTGACCCTAATTCGTACACACGTATACAGTAACTTACATGGTAAGAGAGGGGAATTATAAGTAGGGTCGTCAAAATTCGACACGACATGATTAATTGATACAAATTAAATGAATTTGGGTGATAAACAGGTTGACACGTTAAACACGTTTAATAAACGGATCGTGTTCGAGTGAGACCTGTTAAACCGTTTATCACACGTTTATCCGTTTAAATAAAATTAATATAATAATAAATTAATAATTATTTAAAAAAATTAACAATAAAAAAGAAGTAAAGAAATCAATAAAAAAATAAAGTAAAGTAATAGTTTAAAAATAAAGGAGAAGAGTTAGAGAGCACTTCAAAGACAAAGATAAACATATGTCTTTTGTTTTTGTCCCATATTAAAAAATGAGGTGAGATAGGGAGGATTGAGTTGCCTATAAAAGACAATGACCTCTTGTTTTTATTTTTAAAGCCTTCAATTCTTATTTTTCAAAGACAAAGGAGAGAAGTTGTAGAACACTTAAAAGACAAAGGCAAACCAATGTCTTTTATTTTTATCCCACATTGGAAAATGAGAGGAGATGGGGAGGGTGAGTTGCCAATAAAAGGCAATAGCCTCTTGTTTTTTTTTTTTTAAAGTCTTCAAATCTTATTTTTAAGAGATTTGATTTAAAATTTCTCTTTTTTGAGGTAAGTGCAATTAGTAGTAAAAAAAAATAGAGTATTAAAATTTGTTGATATAATTTTTTTTAAATTAAACAGGTTAAACGAGTCGTGTCGTGTTACCCGTGTATTAAACGGGTCGTATTTGTGTTGAAATTTTTACTCGTTTATTAAACGTGTCGTATATGAGTTTATACGTTTTTTACCTGTCACCCGTTTAACCCGACACGTAACTACGATTGACACCCCTAATTGTAAGTCAAAATTTTATGAGTTTAAATTTTGCCGACTCCTTAGAATCAGGTTATAGGGAATTTATTTTTCTCGATCTGAATATATTTAATCGTTGAACTGAAAAAAATCTAAATATAAAGTGCATTAATATATGCAAAGTCAACTTGATGTTATTCTTATCACGGATGTTATTGTAGTATGACATCTTAGTTTCATTTTTATAAAAAGGTAAAAGCTATTTTTATAATTAAACACAGCGAAAAATACTAATAAGCCATATTTTTCTTTCAAAAGAACTATTAAGACTGATCATATTTATCTTAGGACAATTAAATTTTACTTTTAATAATTTATTCCTAAGAAGCCTTATATTCCACCAATAGTATATTTTCTTTCAATTTACATTTCCCAACAACACACCAATTATATTTTTACCAATAAAATTTGTTATTAAGATCCAAAACAAATTATTATTTTTTAATNACATTTCCCAACAACACACCAATTATATTTTTACCAATAAAATTTGTTATTAAGATCCAAAACAAATTATTATTTTTTAATGAGTGCATAACACCCAAAACACGTAATTAAAAATAAAGAATTATAGAAATAATAAATCATACAACTCTATTTTTTTTATATTTAACTTTTTTAATTATATAAAATTCGACTCACTTGACTATCAAATTTCAACCATAAAGACATACAATTACACAAATTAACAATATATAAACTAAACTATAAATACAATCATTGTAAAAATTTTATTTAATTATGTTTTTTTTTACTCCTTTCACACTTTGAAATAATCAGAAAAAAATAATTGCTTTAAGGCATAAAAAAAATTCAAACATTCAAAACTACAACGTTGTATTTAAGGGATAAAATAAAAAATATTTATTTATATAATAATTTTTATACTATGTAAGATTCATTCGTACATAAACTCTTACATGTCAATAGGGTGCATGCTTTGATAATTAAAGGTATAGTTTATTGAATTTTAATTTAAGATATAAAAAATGATATTTCATTAAGTATAATTGAATAACATTATAAACAAAAATGCAATTTGTGTTTTCATGAAAGGATAAAATTGGAACAAAAATAAATCATTAATATAGTTTAGAATTTTTTGAGAATAAATTATTAAAATTAGGACTTAATTGTATTAAGATAAATATGATAAAACTTACTAGGTAAAAAAAAGTTTGTATTATTAGTGTTTTTCCTGATCGTCGTGTGGGCGTACATATGAACCAAATTACAGAGCAGGAGATACAAATGTGAATCACGAGAACGATGAGAGATAGAGAAGCTTTTACAGGGGGTAGACGCGATATCGTACTATCGTGGTCCGTGATCTTTTTGGAAATTAACCTACCGACTCCTCGCTGTTATAAAAAGGGCAGTTAGGAAGCCACGTGGCGGTAAATGACTAGCCAAAGAAATCTGTTCGTACTCCGTAGTCTAACAGATGGCGCTAAGCTCCCACTCTTAAAGACTTGAGCTCTTGACACGTGGCACTAAAAAGACATTTACACTCGGATCAACAGTATTACATTAATGTTAAGGCTTTTAGTAAACATAACATAGAAAATGAATTAATTATGATAATCACCTTCATGAAACAACCTGCACAAGGGTGATTCTACTCAAATACTAAAGAGTTGGTATTTTGATTAATATTTCGTGGATTTAAGAGTGATATAAAATTACTAACTCATTTAAAAAAAATATATTTTGATAAATATTCTTTTTTTTTTTTTGGTCCAGGAAACATTATGATTCATCTGTGTATGAAACAAACAATGAATACTGACCTCTCAAACGGCATCTATGGGTTTGGGATGCTGACAAAGTAGCTACTGAGCCTGAGGCCCTGGACTGTTATGTCAATCGTAATTACAAAAAAAAAGGCATAGGTTTGAACACTGATCTCCTAACGAATTTTCACATCTACTGATATCCACTCCAGGCTTTCCATGTTTTCAGTGTCATCGTCTCGCTGGCATGGATAACTATACGGTATCCAAAAAAAACAAATTAGACTCTTCTTTGATATTACAACTAACAAGAATTGAACGATCTTTCTATTAAGATCTAATGGTAAATATTTATTTATACACATCAACAAATTAATTATTTTTTTAATATTCATACATATATATATATATATAATGATCATT